CCTACCTTTATTCAAAATATTACCATGCCATGAGGTTTTTTTGGTAACTTAATTTTTGCCATTATTGCTCGAATGTTCTGCGGAAATCATCTTAAACATTTTGTATAACAACATCCCACAAAATGCTCAGCACAGAAAATGGTTTGTTAATATTTTAACACATAATCATTATTTATAGTAATGTGAGATTGAATTGGAAGCACTGTTCTGGACAGCCAGAGGACAACAGAAAAATAGCAATATGAAGAAAAAATTTTAAGACTAAAGGGACACTTAACAGGCCTTATACATGTGTGCAGCTGCATTTCTTTTGGAAAATCCAAGATTGGACTCTTCAGTCCAAAATTGCATTTTGCATTTCTTTACAAAACAGATTAATTCAAGATTAAGATCAAGATTATTAAGATCACTTACAACATGGTGCATCTAAGAAACCAAAGAGTCCACTCGGGCAAGGATTCTTTGATGCATCATGATCTGAATGATCTTACATTAATCTGTTTATTGAAGAAATGCAAAATTCATTTTTGGGTTTAAGAATCCAGCACGGGATTTTCCTAAAGAAACATGCCCTATCATCAAAAACAGCCACACCACTGATACTTACACTGACACTCAAACCCAGGCCTCCATCTCTCTTCTCCAAGTCAACTACAAAGGCTTTTTCCTGAACAGAAGAACAAGGTACAAGTATTTAGTAAATGACAAAAAAATATATATATTTCTGAGATATATAATTATTATATGGCCAGCTCTGTGAGCAGGCAAGATGAATCCTGCGCTGTGATTGGCTACCCGAGCAGGCAAGATGGAGCTATCTTGCCTGCTCGGGACTAACTGCCCTGTCCTGCAAGAAAAATTTCCCGAAAAGCCATATAATAAATCCTTTATTGACCACGCTTGTTCGATCAAGATGGCTGGATATTGGCCTTATTCTTTTTTTATGTGTTTATGGACCTTGACTCCGTATCCGTCCATAAACACGCAAAAAAAGAACTTGGCCAATATCCAGCCATTTTGACCTCACACTTGGTCAATAACCCATACATATTACATCGCAAAATCATTTAACACTCACAGGCAAGGCATCTTCACTGTAGACTCCACTCTCATCTCCACTCAATGATTCCTGCCTTGCACCAGGGGACTCCCCCTGGGGGCTTGCAACACTTGCAGAGACCAATGGGACAGCTGCTGACAATAGTGAACTTTGAATGACATTTGCCTCAAAAGGTGTACTGTGACCTCTTGTTTGAGTTTTAGGCTCTCTGATATCAGCTGATTCTAAACTGGAATTGTCTTGCA